CCCAGTTCGGCGGAGCAGGGGCTGAGCCGGCTTCTCCAGCCGGACACGGGTTAGGCAAAGGGGCTTTTCCCCTCCCTCCGGTGAAGGAATGGTTGGGAAAGTAGGAATAACACAGAGCCCGGCAGGGGCTGGGGCCGAGCTCTTGGCCGGAGGCGACCCGCGGGGCTGCGGGGCGGGACGGAGCCGCCCCGGTGGGACGGAGCCGCCCCGGTGGGGTCCCCGCCCGTCCCGGGAACCGCAGTGGATTAAGGCAGCATGTGAGAGGTGGAAGGGCACCAGCGGTGAGTGTGAGGCAGAGCTGCGGCCCCGCTCCGGAGGGGCTGGGCCCGGCAGGTCTCCGGGGTCCCGGTGTGGAGGAGGTGGCAGCTCTCGGGTCCGGGGCGCTCAGTCGGTTTTGCGGTGGTTGTTGTTGAGGACAGGGTGGCCATTGGAGAGGGGCCCGTTCTTGGCCACCTCCTCCTCCTCCTCTGAGTTGTCCGTCTCCTCACGGTCACTCCGCTCATCCTCCACCACCTGTGGGCAGGAGGAAAAGGGGGTTCAGGCAGCAGACCACCATTTTCCTGCCGTGCCTCAGTTTCCCCATTGCAACCACAGCGGTTTCTCCCCACCGAGGGCTCTCTGGGATCTGGGGAGCCACGGGCAGTTGGGATTCAGAATCTGGGGGTCTCCCCCGCATCCTCCATCCTCCATCCACCCACCCCGAGTGGGTCCTTCCCCCCCGATGTCCCCACGGCCTCCTCTCACCTTTCCAGTTATGAACTTCTGGGCCATGCGGATGATGAGGTAGGCCCAGAAGATGTGCAGCAACTGCAGCACCACCATCATGAAGTTGAAGAAGTAGTAGCCAAAGAAGGCGGGGTAGAGATCCAGCGGATAAACCACTGTGCAGTGCATGATCCTGCCGGGAAAAGCCACTCCTGTCACGGGCAGAACCAGCATCCCACCCCCGGGAGACTCCCCCAGCCCTGCCTCAGTTTCCCCCGTTGCCCAGCGCAGCTCACCAGAAGGGCAGGATGACCAGGCGGGTGATGATGAAGACGGCGGCGAAGACGATGAAGATGTTGTTGCAGGTGTTCCTCCACCCGGCGTAGTTGAACATCTTGGCAGACTGGGGGGGCAGAGGGGGTGAGCTGGGGAGGGGGCGCAGGACGGGGGGACAGCAGGGGAGGGGGGACACACCAACCTCCAGCAGATAATCCGAGGAGTCGTGCAGGGCCATGATGAGCGTCCCGGCGCGGGTGTAGTTGGCGAACCAGGAGAAGCTGATGAGGATGATGGTGGCCACGTGGTGGATGATTTGCTCTTTGAAGTCCTGCGCCCAAAGCAAAGGGGAGCTCAGCAATGGGGGGGTTACAGCAGCCCCTGTGTGTCCCCACATCCTCCCAGCCGCTGCCTCCTGCCCACCCACCACGAGGGTGAGGAAAACCCTGCCAAGGTGTCCCGGTGTCCCCCAGAGCCCCCACCTTGCGCTTGACGTCGGAGGCGATGCTGAAGAGCAGGGACCAGTAGAAGGAGAGCTCGATCATGTAGTACCAGTACTGCGAGGGCAGCATGCTCTGGGGGCAAGGGACACGTTGGGGGGGACCTCTGTGTCCCCCAGAGGGGTTTGGTCCCCTTCTCTGGGCACCATCTGGGTGCCCTGAGGACCCCCAAACCCCCAGGGGTGCCAAGAGACCCTCCTGCACCCCCCGTTCCCACCGCTGATCCTGGTGCTCAGGAAAAGCCGAGGGCTGGCAGCTGGGACAGGATCCGGGCTCACCTGGATGGGATATCCCTTCCACACCTCCCGGAGGTCGTAGAACCAGGGCTTCTGCGGGATGGGGAGGGGGAGACACAGAGTCAGAGGGGCCAGGGGGGCTGGGGGAGCACGGGAGGGGGGCAATACTCACATCCACTATGACAGCCATGCCAGCAATGAAAGCAATAAGGTAAAAGGTGAATCTCCAACTGGAAAAAGGAAGCAGACGGTTCTCAGACGGGCACCGGGGAGCGGGAGGGAGGAGGACGGACCCACCGGCCCCGGATCCCGCGTCTCCCACCCTCCCAGGCAGCTCCTGGCCAAGCTGAGACTCCCAGAGCCCCCCCGGGTGGAGGGACAGTGACACCAGGCAGCAAGGGGGTCTCACCTGGCCTCCCGGAATTTCTTCAGCAGGCTGGGCCGGTCCTGGTTGCGGCGGCGGCGGAACCAGCGCTCGACCTGGCGCACGGTGCAGCCGCTCTTCTTGGAGAGCATCTCCACGTCGGCCTGGGGACAGCCCCACGGTGTCACACAGCCCTGGCTCTGCCACCCTCACCCCGCCCAGGCACCTCTGGAGACCCTCACCTGCTTGGGGTGTTTGGTGGTGGCAGCATAAAACTTCTCCAGCACGGCATTGGGGGTGGCTTTTAACCGGACCTTCTCCTTGACATTCAGGAGCCCGGCCAGGGGGGTGGCCACGTACCTGGGGAAGGAGTTGGGGACATAAATGTCCTCATTCCTGTCACCTGGATGATTTGGTCCCATCAAAGCCACACAGGGACCCACAACCGCTCAGTGCCTCGGTCTCCCCACCCTGCTGCGCCTCCTCCAGGGTGGGTTTTGCCACAGGGGAGCCCCCCGGGTCCCTCTGTCACGGGCTGGTGAAGGGTGGCCCCCCCTTCTCCTGCCATCCCAACAAAGCCGGGTCTGTTCCCATTGTTTGCCCAACAAATCACTCCCTAAGAGCCGTGTTGGTGCGGGGAAGGGGGAGCACGGGGGTTTGTGGGGGGGATCAGGACCCCCAGCTTGGCTGAGCACAAGATACCACACTCCAGGGTTCAGCCACAGCCCCCAGGGCACGGGCAGAGCCGGATCAGGGGCTCAGGACCCGTCCCCACCCCCAGGGAAGGGACTCACGTCTCAAAGAGGTGCCGGACAATGAGGAAGACGAAGGCCAAGGGGAGGGTGATGTACAGGTCAGAGGCTTTGGCATAGACTCGCCCATCCCGGTCCTCCAGGTCAGCCCAGGTGAGGTTTGCCGGGAGCCAGAGCCGTTCCCACCAAAAATAGCTGTACAAGGTCTGAAACATGCTGAGGGGAGGGAAAGGGGGACAGGTGAGGGGGGCATCTCCGAGGAGACGCTGATCCCACAGCCCGGCCCCACCGGGCACCCCAATTTCCACCTCGGCTCCCGGGGAGGCCGCGGTGAAATCCCGGTCGGAGCACTCGGCTCGGGCACCGCGGGACTTTGCTCCCTGCAGCCCGGAGGTCAGCGGGTGATCATTAACAGAGGCCCCGGCACCGCTTCCAACCGCAGCTCGGGGCCCGGGACCAGCCCGAGGGAAGAACCGGGACAAACCCCCGCCTTTGGTTTCCCTGCCGAGCGCCGTGCGCGCATCCCGCCGCTGATCCAAACCCGATTCCCGGTGGGAAGCGGAGGCACGGAGCCCACCGCCGGCATTCCGAGGCCAGGCACAGCACCGGCCCCGCGGGATTAGGGATTTGCCGGCGGCACAATGAGCACCTTTGTGCCTTAAAAAGGCCCCAGCAAGGGAAGCCGCCCCTCGCCGCGGGGTCAGAGCATCCCGGTGCCCGTCCCTCTCCCCCGGGATGGGGCCGGTTGGGATCCAAACCCGGGGCGAGCGAGTCCCCAAGGCGGCGCAGGGATTGTGGCGAGGGCCGGGGCGGCTCCGCTGCGCCCCGGGAGGAAGAGGAACCACCGTGGCCGGTTTCGCAAGGGCGGGCGGGAGGGAGGTGCCGCAATTCCCGGCTCCCGAGGCCGTGCCGCGGGCAGGTAACGGGAGGGGAGCGTGGGAGGACGGGGTGAGGCCCCGGTCAGCGCCGGCAGCTCCTTCTCCCCGGGGCACCGGCAGGGCACGGCGGACACCGGGCCGGCGGAGGAGGGGGCACCGCCAGGCCGGAGCCCTCCCCCGGAGGTGAGTTTGGGAGAGATCCTGCTGGAAACCGACCAAACCCTGACGTTTTCAAGCCGTGGACGGAAAAACGGCACCGGGAGGGATCCGGGCCCGGGGGCCGCGCTGCCGTACCGGGCCGGGGGGCAGCGACCCGCTGAGGGCCCCGCCCCGCCCGGGCAGACCCGGGGGGCCCTGCCGGACCCGGCCGAGGGCGGATGGAGGCCCGGGATGGCTCCGGTGCGCGCCCAACGCCCGCAGAAAGGCCCGGCCGCGGGGGGGGGCGAGCGGGAACCGGCCCGCGGCCCCCGCCCCGCCCGCAGCGGGCAGGCCCCGCTCGGCCCGGCCGCACTCACCCGCAGCCGCCGCCGGAGCCCTCACGGAGCCGCCGCTCGGAGCCGTCCCGGAGCCGTCCCGGAGCCGCCGCCCGCCCCCTCCGTCCCGCGCGCGCCCCGCGCCAGGCAGCGGCGGCAGTGACGTCACCGCAACCCGGGAGTGACGTCACCGCAACGCCGCGGGGAGCGGCGCCCGCGGCGGGGCGGGGCGGGGCCCAGGCGTGAGCAATCAACGGCCGAGACGGGGTCCGTGCACCCCCTATAGACCCCCTATAGACTGCCCTATATGTGCCCCACATACCCCCTATAGACAGCCCTATATGTGCCTCCCATACACACCCTATAGACCCCCGTGTGCCCCATATACACCACCTATAGACAGCCCTATATGTGCCCCACATACACCCCCTATAGACCCCAGTGTGCCCCATATAGACCCCCTATAGACAGCCCTATATGTGCCCTGTGCACCTCATATATACATCCAGGGTACCCCCGTATATGTCCCTCTGCACAGCCTTGTGCAGTACCCCATATGCCCCTGTACAGCCCCGTGTGTGCCCCTGGCTCCCCCGAACCCCACCCGCGCCCCATTTCTGCCCCATGGGGCCCCCCAGACCCCACCCGCCCCTGTCGCCCCCTGGCGGCCGCGCCGCGCCACCGCACCCCACGGAGGGGACCCCAAACTCGCGGCGGAACCGCGACCCCAAACCCTCCCAAACCCCCCGATTCCCCCAAACCCGCGTGTCCGTGGAGCGCAGGAGCCCCCACTGGTGTCGGGGTGCCAGATCCGTGTGCAGGGGGACAAGTCCTTTACTTGCCAAGGGCTAAGGCCACGTTTTGAGCAGGGGGGTGCACGTGTCCCCCCCGTCCGCACGTCCACCCGTGTCTCAGAGCACGGACTGAGGTGTGAGGGTTCCCCCTGAGTGGGACCCCCCTGTGTTAAGGCCACTGGGAAGTTTGGGGTGGTCCTGGGGGTGGCCTCAGAACGTCACCCCTCACCCGTGTGTCCACTCCAGCCCACAGGGACCCCCCAGGATCTCCGTGGGGGACGCAGAGCGGGGACTCGGGGGGCTGTGGGCACGGGGACCCCACGGGCACCCCACGGGCACGAGGGGCTACAGGAGGGTGCAGTCCAAATCCGGCCTCTGTCGCTGCCGCCGCTCTCCGGCCGGACGCCCGCCCGCCTGTGGGGACAGGGACAAGGAGATGGCTGAGCTGTTGGGGGACATGCAGAGACCCCCACCACCCCCCCAGGGCCATCAGCACCCCCTGGAGTGGGGTTACCTGTGCTGGGAGCAGCTGGGGAGCAGCAGGGTGAGGATGAGGATGAGGATGGTGCTGCTGGTACTCCTCGTGCTGCAGCTGCCGTGCCAGCTCCAGGTCGCTGAGCACGGAGGGGGTGTCCAGCCCCTGCTGCAGGGACAGGGCCACCATGTAATCCTGGCAGGAGCACCAAGAGAGGGGTCAGCGCCTGTGGGATCCCCTGTGGAGCCGGGGTGGCACTCAGGTGTCTGTCCCCAGCTTGTCCCTCACCTGGTCCACTTGTCTCTGCTGCAGCCGGTGGTCCAGGGGGGTGGCGGTGGTCCCCTCCTTGCCCAGGGGGTGGCTGAGGTGGAACTCGGCGTCGCAGAAGCAGCTGTCCCCATCCACGCTGTGCAGGCTCTCCCACACCACCCCCTCCTCCTGCAGGAAGCCCTGGTCCGTCACCAGCAGGTACAGGTGGCCCTGGGCACAAGGGACAAGGGACAGTCAGCCCCGCTGGGTGTCCTGGGGGGGCCCAGCGGGGTCTGGGGGCCGCACCTTGTGCTTGATCATGGTGCTGAAGTGGTTGTTGCGGAAGAAGACGCCGAGCTCGCCCTCGCGGGCGCGGGCCGTGAGCTCGCACAGCCCGTGGAAGGTCAGCTGCGAGGCCGTGGACTCCAGGAACTGCTCGGCCACCAGCCCTGCGGGGACAGCGGGGCCGTGGCGGGGCTGGGGGCGCCCGGCCGTGCCCCCCAGGCCAGGAGCGGGGCCCTACCTTGGCTCACCAGGCTGGAGTCGCTGGCGTGTTTGCAGGTGATGATCTTCTCCACCAGCTGGTTGTAGCTGAGCTTGCCCACGGCCTGGACCTGCTCCGGGCTCTGCGGGGTGGGAGGGGCAGGGGGTGAGCTCCTGGTGGGCACGGAGGGGTCTGCGAGGGATGGGAGCACCCACTGCAACCTCCTGCCGCGGTTAGAGGAGTCATCCACCGGCTGAGGTTCAAAACCCCATCCCAAACACCGCAGAGGGATCATCTGGATGGCCCCAAACCGGGACACCTCCTGCTAGACCAGGCTCCTCCAAGCCCCATCCAGCCTGGCCCTGAGCACTCCCAGGGTTGGGACATCCACCCTCAGCTTGGTCACCTCGGCCAGGACCATCCCCAGCCCCTCACAGCTGAGCTCTCCAGCCCTGGCACCACTTCTGTGGCCCCACAGAAGCCACCAGGCAGGTCGGGGGGCTCACCTGGGGGTCCACCAGCCAGCCGTGGTAGAGTGGGATGTTGAGGAGGTCGAAGACGATGCACTCAGGGGTGTACTCGAAATCTGAGACCCCCGTGAACCTCACGTTGACGTCCAGCCCCGTGGAGAGCTTCGGCAGGACCGTCATGGTGTCGCTGATGTTCTGGGAGGCAGCAGAAACGCGGGGTCACTCCCGAAGGTGCCACCCCAAATCCCGCAGCCACCGAGCTCCCCGGACAATGGGGTTGGACGTTCTGGGGCTGCTCCTCACCTGCTGGAAGTTCAGCTGCAGCCCCTCCGAGGTGTCCCGGGGCTGGGTGGCCAGGATGCAATTCCCTGCGAGGCAGCGGGGTCATCCCAGCACTGGGGCGGGAATGTGGGGTCCCAGTGGTGCTGGGATGGGAATGTGGGGGTCCCAGTGGTGCTGAGACAGGAATGTGGGGTCCCAGTGGTGCTGGGGTGGGAATGTGGGGTCCCAGTGGTGCTGAGACAGGAATGTGGGGTCCCAGTGGCGCTGGGATGGGAATGTGGGGTCCCAGTGGCACTGGGACGGGAACATGGGGGTCCCAGTAGCACTTGGGCAGGAATGTGGGGGTCCGAGCGGCACTTGGACAGAAATGTGGGGGTCCCAGCAGAGCCCCCACCCCATTCCTGGCCCCGAGCGGGGCTGTGGGTCCCCACTCACCCAAATGTGCCATCAGCTCCTCGGCCGTGATCACCTCCTTCTGCGGGGGCAGCTTCACCTGGGGGCGTCCAGAGAGGCTGAGGAACATCCCCGAGCCCCCTCCCCTGGGGATTTGGGGTCCCCCCGAGCCCCTCCTCTGGGGATTTGGGGTCCCCCCGAGCCCCCCAGCCCCGCTTGCCTTCCACTGCAGGAGGAGGACGTTGATGATGGCCAGGAGCGGGCAGGGCCCGTTCTCGCTCTGCGTCACCACCGGCGTGCGCTGCCCCTTCCAGCGGATCCACTTGACGCAGTAGAAATCCCGGGAACGGGGGGAACGGGGGGACCGGGGGGCGGCGGCCACCGGGGACCCCCCGTCCTGCCGGGGCTGCTCCTCGGGGGAGCCCCCCGGGGGTCCCTCGGGGCTGGAACCCCCTTCCCGCTGCCCGGATGGACCGGCTGGAGCGGGGCTGTGCCGGCCGGCACCGGGGGTTCTGTGCCCTGCACCGGGAATTGTGTCAGCGGTACCGGGAATTGTGTCACCGGCACCGGGAATTGTGTCACCAGTACCGGGAATTGTGTCACCAACATTGGGAATTGTGTCACCGGTACCGGGAATTGTGTCACCGGTACTGGGAATTGAGTCACCGGTACCGGGAATTCTGTCACCAACACTGGGAATTGTGTCACCGGCACTGGGAATTGTGTCACCGGTACCGGGAATTATGTCACCAACACCGGGAATTGTGTCACTGGCACCAGGAATTGTGTCACCGGTACCGGGAATTGTGTCACCAACACTGGGAATTGTGTCACCGGTACTGGGAATTCCATCTCCAGTACTGGGAATTATGTCACCAGTACCAGGAATTGTGTCACCAACATTGGGAATTCCATCACCAGTCCTGGGAATTCCGTCATCAGTACCGGGAATTATGTCACAGGTACCAGGAATTCCGTCACTGGTACCGGGAATTGCATCACTGGTACTGGGAATTCCATCACTGGTACCGGGAATTGTGTCACCAACATTGGGAATTCCATCACCAGTACCAGGAATTCTGTCACCTGTACCGGGAATTGTGTCATCAGTACCGGGAATTGTGTCACCAACATTGGGAATTCCATCACCAGTACTGGGAATTGTGTCACAAGTACTGGGAATCGTGTCACCAGTACCGGGAGTTATGTCCCCAACATTGGGAATTCCATCAACAGTACCAGGAATTGTGTCACCAGTACTGGGAATCGTGTCACCAGTACCGGGAATTTCATCACCTGTACCGGGAATTCCATCACCAGTACTGGGAATTGCATCCCCAACATTGGGAATTGTGTCCCCGGTACCGGGAATTCCGTCCCAAACATCGGGAATTCCGTCCCCACCCGCAGCCTCCCGGGGGGGCCGGGGGTTCCCCTCCTGCTCCATGGGACCCTCCGGCGCTGCTCCGGCTCCGATCAGGCTCCCGGGAATGTTCCGGCTCTGTCCGGGAGCAGCCGCATCCCAAACCTCAGCCTGAGCAGGGAAAATTGAGGAAAATACAGATATACATATATATATGTATATATATGTGTGTGTGTATAAAAATATTTATATAATTATATTTTTAATATATTTTAATATTTTAATATATATGTATATATATGTGTGTATATATACACGTATTTATATATATGTATATATATGTGTGTATATATAAAAATACTTACATATTTATATATTTTATAAATTTTTAATATTTTTTATATATATGTATATATATATGTGTGTGTGTATATACATGTATTTATATATATGTATATATATGTGTAAACATATATATTCATATATATATAATGATATATACTTATATATTATTTCTATATAAATATACAGGTATATATTTTTGCAGTAATTTATAAGTCTACTTATAAATAATTTATATGCTTTTTATAGGTATATTATTTATATATTTTATTCTTTTATATTGATATATTTTGTTATTTCTATTTATGTTTTATATATTTATATATTTTTATATGTGCATATGTATGTATATATTTTCATTTATGTGTATATATATATATAGATATATATATTTATATATGTGTATATGTGTGTATGTATATGTACATATATATTTGCATATATATTTATATATATGTATATAAAAACATATATATATACATATATACATATATTTACATATATACACCCCCCAGCTCACCAGGAATCTTCTGAGCCCCTAAATCCACCACAACCGGGGCTTGGGCCCTCTGGAAACTCCTGCGGGAAAACAAACATTAATAATATAAATAAATATCTTTAAAATAAGCAAATAAAATAGAAACCGGCATGGAATTAAATGAAATTACAAGAACCAAGATGTAAAATGAGGATGTGATAATGAAATGAAATGAAATGAAATAATGAAATGAAATGAGATGAAATGAAATATACAGCAAAATGAAATATAATTTAAAAATTAAATAGAATAGAATAGAATAGAATTAAATAGATTAGCATAGAATAGAATAGAATTAAATAGAATAGCATAGCATAGAATAGAATAGATTAGCATAGAATAGAATAGAATTAAATAGAATTAAATGAAATGAAATAAAATATAATAAAATAGAATAGAATAGAATAAAATAAAATAAAATTTTAAAATAAAATAGAATAGAACGGAATTAAATTAAATTAAATATAAAAATAAAATTAAATATAATATAATAAAAATATATATAATAAATATATTTACTCTATTTTATTTATAGTAAATAGAAATACAATATTTATATATTAATAAATAAATAAAATATATTAATTGTATTAATTATACCAATAAATATTATAAATATTAATGCATATAATAAAATAAAATAAAATAAATAAAGTAAAGTAAAGTAAAATAAAAGTAAAATAAAATAAATTAAATAAAATAAAATTAAAATAAAATAAAATAAAATAAAATAAAATAAAATAAAATAAAATAAAATAAAATAAAATAAAATAAAATAAAATAAAACAAAATAAATAAATAACCCGCAGTGCCCCCGAGCAGGCCCCGGGAAGGCGAATTTCCGTTCGCACTCTCGCTCCGCCCCGAACCGCGGCCGCCCGGGGGTCCCGGGGCCTTTTCCTGCTTTTCCTTCCTCTTGCTCCCCTAATCCTTCTTTTTCCTTTATTAGCCCTTCTTTTTCCTCCTTTTCCCCCTTTATCCCTTGTTTAATCTCCCCTTTCCCTCTTTATCCCTTGTTTATTCTCATTTTCCCTTCTTTTTTCCTTATTTATGCCCCTTTTCCCTGGCTTTTCCTTCCTTTTTTTCCTCTTTCTCCCTTTCTTTTCTACCTTTCCCTTCTTTTTCTACTTCATCCCTCCTTTTTCACCTCCCTTTACCTTTTTTCCTGCTTCTTTTCCTTCTTCTCTCCTCCTTTATTCCCTTTTCCTTTTCTTTCTTCTTCTTTTTTTTCTCTCCCGCTTTTCCCTCCTGTTTTCCTTCTGTTTTCCTCTTTAATCCTCTTTTTTTTTCTTTTCCTTTTTTAATTCCTCCGCGCTCCTCTTTCGCTTCTCTCGTCTTCCTTTTCCCCTTTTCTTTTTATTTTCTTTTTCACTTTTTTGACCTCCCTATTCTTTTATCCTCTTCCTTTATTATTTTTTTTTTTTCCAGTCCCTTTTTTTCTTCTTTTCGCCTCTTTTTTCCCTTTTTTCCCCCTTTTTTTTTTTTTCCGGGCCTGTTTTTCCACCTGGCTCCGGCTGCCCGTGGGAAGGCGGATTTAGGGCGGGGGGAGGAGGAGGAAGAGGAGGAGGAGGAGGAGGAGGAAGAAGAGGATTAACGTTGGGATTTTGGGGGTGCAATAAAATTTGGGGGGTAGGGGGGGGTCACCCCTGCAAAGTTGGGGGGGGTTTGGGGTGTGCCGAGTTTTGGGGTCGCGGCAGAATTTGGGGATTCCAGTGAGGGGTGGGGGGTGTCTGTGGGGTTCCGGGGGGAGGTCACGGGAGGGTTTTGGGGTGGAAAAAGAGAATTTTGGGGACCCCCCCCAAGCCCCCCCCCAGCGCGGGGGATGCCGGGAAGGGCCCCGCCCCCTCCCCAGCGGCCCCTGCGGCGCGGGGGGAGGGGCGGGACGGCCGGACTGGGACGGACTGGGACGGACTGGGACGGACTGGGGTGGTCTGAGCTTATGTTGGGACGGTCTGAGCTTATACTGGGCTGGACTGGGATTGTCTGAGCTTATACTGGGCTGAACTGGGGTCATACTGGGTTGGACTGGGATGGTCTGGGCTTATATTGGGACTGTCTGAGCTTATACTGGGCTGGACTGGGACTGTCTGGGGTCATACTGGGCTTGACTGGGACGGTCTGGGGTCATACTGGGCTGGACTGGGATTGTCTGGGGTCATACTGGGCTGGACTGGGACGGTCTGGGGTCATACTGGGACGGACTGGGGTGGTCTGAGCTTATGTTGAGACGGTCTGAGCTTATACTGAGCTGGACTGGGATTGTCTGATTTTATACTGGGCTGGACTGGGATTGTCTGAGTTTATACTGGGCTGGACTGGGACTGTCTGGGGTCATACTGGGCTGGACTGGGACGGTCTAGGGTCATACTGGGTTGGACTGGGATTGTCTGAGCTCATCCTGGGCTGAACTGGGGTTATACTGGGTTGGACTGGGATGGTCTGGGCGTATACTGGGATGGTCTGAGCTTACACTGGGTTGTACTGGGGTGGTTCGGGTTGTACTGGGATAGTCTGAGCTCATACTGGGCTGGACTGGGGTAGCCTGGGTTTATACTGGACTGTGCTGGACTCTGCTTGGCTGTACTGGGTTATAATGGTCTGTACTGGGTTATAGTGGGTTGTACTGGGTTATAGTGGGCCGTACCGGGTTAGACTGGTCTGTACCGGGTTAGACTGCTCCGTACCGGGTTAGACCGGTCTGTACCAGGTTACACCGGGCCGTACCAGGTTAGACTGCTCCGTACTGGGTTAGACTGCTCTGTACCGGGTTCCACCGGGCCGTACCGGGTTCCACCGGGCTGTACCGGGTTAGACTGCTCTGTACCGGGTTCCACCGGGCCGTACCAGGTTAGACTGCTCCGTACTGGGTTAGACTGCTCTGTACCGGGTTCCACCGGGCCATACCGGGTTCCACCAGGCCGTACTGGGTTCCACTGGGCTGTACCGGGTTAGACTGCTCCGTACCAGGTTCCACTGGGCCATACCGGGTTCCACCGGGCCGTACCGCCGGCTGGGGCCGTGGATCGGTGCCCTCATGGAGCGGTTCGTGGCGGGGAGCCGGGCGGTGCTGCAGGTACGGGGCAGTGCCGTGTTTTCCGTGTGAAAGCTCATGTTTTGGGGTGACAGGCAGCCCCAAACTCCAGAACGAACGGCTCGAAGCCCTCGGGGCTGCGGGGCTGACGCGGGCCTGGCCTCACGTGGCGCCCCAGCCTCGCTTCACACACGCACCCCAAACCCTGCGGTGGGTCCCGGCCAGGCCCAGGGGTGCCAGGAGCTCGTACAGAGGGTGGTGACACCGGTGATGGGGGACACTGCCGAGGGCAAGCGAGCGTTTGGAGGGTTTTGGAGGGTCCCGTTGCTGCTGTGCCTGACACCTCCCACCCCGCAGGATCACGTCCGGCAGCAGCGGGAGATCCACGTGGTGATGGGCAACGAGGCCTGCGACCTGGACTCCACCGTCTCGGCGCTGGCCCTGGCCTATTTCCTAGCCCAGGTGAGGCTTGGCCGCTAGCCCGGGGACCAGCAGTGGCCTGGGGGGACGCCTCACCACCGGCTGTGACCCCCCCACCGCCGCAGACCGCCCCGGCGCCCAAAGCCGCCTTCGTGCCGGTGCTGAACATCCCCCGCGCCGACTTGGCGCTGCGGACGGAGACGACGTTCCTGCTGCGGGAGCGGGGGATCCCGGCCGCCTCGCTCGTCTTTCGCGATGAGATCGACCTCGGGGGGCTGCACCACGCCGGGCTGCTCTCCCTGACGCTGGTGGATCACCACGTCCTGCCCGGGTGAGCCGGGGTGGGGGTGGCACGGTGGGGACAGCCAGGGACACCCACCCAGAGCCTGGGTTGATTTTGCCACCCAGGGTGGGTGAAATTAATTAATTTCCGGGGAGTTTTTAGGGTGGAAAAAAGGAATATGGGGGTTCCCAGGCTCTGCCAGATGTGACCTTTCTCATTGCCCACCAGTGCTGACGCTGCCCTGGAAGAGGCCGTGGTGGAGGTTGTGGACCACCGGCCGCTGGAGCGGGACCGCGGCGCCCCGTGCCGGGTGACCGTGGAGCCCGTGGGCTCCTGTGCCACGCTGGTGACCGAGCGGATCCTGCAGGGCCCCCCGGGCGTGCTGGACGCCACCACGGCCACGCTGCTGCACGGTGAGCACGGCGGGGTGCCGGGCGAGCCCCGGGGACGGGGACGGTGACAACGGGACCCCGCTCGTCCCCGCAGGCACCATCCTGCTGGACTGCATCAACCTGAGCCCGGCCGCGGGCAAGGTGACGCCCAGGGACGTGGCGTGTGTGTCCCTGCTCGAGGAGAGGTTCCCGGAGCTGCCGGCCCGTGACGCCGTGTTCGGAGCCCTGCAGGCGGCCAAGTTTGATGTCACAGGTGTGTGTGTGCCCAGGCAGCAGCACCCAGGTGTATCCCCCTCCCCGTGGGGACGGGGAGGTGCCCTGGGCCTCATCCCCTGGGCCTCATCCCCTGGGCGCCTCCCAGGGCTGACCACAGAGCAGATGCTGCGGAAGGACCTCAAAGTCATCTCCAATGACGAGGCGCTCATCGGCATCAGCGGCGTCTTTGAGGATCTGGAAGTGAGACTTGGGGCTGAGGGGGAAACTGAGGCAGGGAGTGGCACACCGGGGACGTCACGGTGATGCCGAGGCTCCTTCCCTCTGTCCAGACGTTCCTGCTCCGGCCTGGCTTGCTGCAGGACCTGGAGGCTTTCTGCCAGGCCCGTGGCTACGCGGGGCTGGTGGCCATGACCGTGTCCTTCAACCAACGCCACGAGCCCACGCGGAAACTCGCGGTCTACAGCGCGCAGGAGCCCCTCCGCAGCACGGTGAGTCACGGGGCCGGGCTCAGCCATCTCTGGGCTGTCCCCAGCCGTGCTCTGCCCCAAAACCTCCCGTTTTTGGGGGCACCGGGCAGGTCCCAGCCCCGCGCTCGCTCCCCCGCAGTTGTGCCGGGCGCTGGAGGAGGCGACGACGCCGCCGCTGCTCCTGCGGCCGCTGCCGAGCCCCTGGCCCTGCGTGGCCGCCTACGCCCAGGGCAACGCCGTGGCCGCTCGCAAGAAGGTGCTGCCCATCCTGCGGGCAGCGCTGGGGGGCCTGGGGGCTGCCGGGGGTCCCGAGGAGGAGGTGGCGCCCCCGCCCACCCCCATGAACAGCCTGGTGGAGGAGTGTCCCCTGGCGCAGGCCGTGCCCCCGCTGTGTCCCCAGGACGTCCTGGAGCGGGTCAGCCGCATCGCCGTGGGGCAGCCCCCCGGCTCCCCCAAATAGCAGCAGGCACCTCGTGGCTTTTTTGAGGTCTGGAGGAGAAGTTGGGGTCCCTGGGCAGCCCCCCCGGTGGGGTGCCTGGGTGTGGGGCGGGGTTGCAGCTGAGCTCGGCTCCTGGTCCTCCCTGTGCCCCAGTGGTCCCCAGGGTGGGTTTGTGGGGATGCCACGGGCAGCAGTTGCACCCCCTTAATGAAGGCGTTGGGGTGGGGGAGTTAACGAGTTCTTGATGATCTTCCTTCCTTGGGGGGCCCCAGAGGGTGGGTCCGGACATGCAGCCGTCCAGAAGTGTCAGTTTTCCAAGGATTAAATCTCCCTTTTCTTCCAGTTTTGACTGTTGGGTTTTATTCTGGGATGGGGTGCAGCCCCTCTTTCCCTGGGGTGCAATCCCCTCTACAGTGGGTCAGAGGAACATTTTGGGGTGTCCAAGGAGGGGGTGTCAGTGCAGCCACACTCCCGAGTCCAGCCCAGCCGAGAGGAAACTGGTTGTGCCATAAAAAGTCGTGGCCTCTGCCTGCTGGGAATATCAGCGGGCTCGGCTTTTCCCTGTGGATTTGGCTGCTCCAGGAGCAGAGGAGGGAGCGAGGAGCCTGGAGCAGCCTGTGCACCCACCCCTTGGGCCAGCACAAGGCATTTATTTCAAAGGTGGAATGTTTTTTTTCCCCAAAAACCCTGACCCGAGCGTGACGCGGGGCTGGAAAAACCTGGCTGCCAGCAGAGCATCGCTGGAGCACGGGGCAGGGGAAAGGCTCTGTCACCCAGCACGTGCTAATTAATATTTAATCCTGGCGCTAATTAAACTATGTACACCCGCGCCTGAATTCCAGAGCCCTTCTCGGCTCAGGCCCTGTCTGGCCTTGGCCGGGGACAATCCCGGGTGGAGGGGACCCCACCACGGTCCTGCCCGAGGCGATGGAGGCTGCTCGGGTGGGTTTTGGAGTTAAAAATAAGAAGAGATCCTACAAAAAGGAGGGAGGGGGGAGTTTGGCGGCGGTGGGAATGCCGGCTGGAGGCACTGTGGGCTCGGTGACGCCGAGACACCCGAGCGCTGGGGCTGGATCCTGGTTTGGCACCGAAGCATCGGGGTTTAGTCCCGCTTTTGCTCCGAAGAATTGGGGTTTAATCCCAGTTTGACATCGAATCCCGGTTAGACACCAGAACATCTTGGGTTTAATTCTGGTTTGGCGCCAGAACACCAGGGCTTAATCCTGGTTTTGCTCCTCTGTGATGTTCTGGGAGGCATCAAATCTGCCTCTGCACCATGAGTGATTCCCTGGGGAAACTGAGGCACCACCACGCAGCCCATGGGAGACAAAGGAGTGGGAAAAGGGAAAACTGGGAGAGTTTGGGACACGTGGGCTGCGCCTGGCAGCTCCTGGCACGTTTCAGGGGGGTGGCTGTGTCCTTTCCAGGCGGGGCAGGAGATGGGGGCTGCTGTCCCCGCTCCCTCCCCGTGTCACCGGCCAGGGCCTCCGGGAAGGAGGGATTTTCCAGAGGGAGACGACCCAAAGTCACCGGGAGCTGGGCGAGGATGGTGCTGCATAAATACCGCGGGGTTAAAGCACTCGAGGTCAGCTTCTCCTCCAGCGGGGGGATCAGGCAGTTCAAGTTTGGGCTGAAAAAGCCAGGAATCTGCAAAATCCAAGAGGATGGGTTATGGGAGCGCCCAAGTGGTGGCTCCTTCGGGTGTTCCTCAGAGGTGGTGGCTCTGAGGGGATGCTGGGGGTGCCACGGCCTGGTACTCACACGCTACAACACACGGGAGTTGCTCCACTGTCGCTCCCGGCCGCCCTTGGACCTCATCTCCTGGACAGCTCCAGTCTGCAGAGAGGACCTGTCACCCACCTGTGCCACCCCCTCGCCCAGCAGGAGACCCAGCACCCCAAAACAACACCCACCTCCCTGCCCTGAGACCCAGCACCCCTAAATCAACACCCACCACCCAATCCAGACACCCAGCACCCCAAAACAACACCCACCTCCCAATCCAGAGACCCAGCACCCCAAAACAACATCCACCACCCAACCCTGAGACCCAGCACCCCAAAATAACACCCACCACCCAATCCTGAGACCCAGCACCCCTAAATCAACACCCACCACCCAATCCAGACACCTAGCACCCCAAAACAACACCCACCACCCAATCCAGAGACCCAGCACCCCAAAACAACATCCACCTCCCAACCCTGAAACCCAGCACCCCAAAACAACACCCACCACCCAATCCAGAGTCCCAGCACCCCTAAATCAACACCCACCTCCCAACCCTGAGATCCAGCACCCCTAAATCAACATCCACCACCCAACTGTGAGACTCTACCCCCCAAAACCAACACCTACCACCCCAAAACCAACACCTACCACCCCAAAACCACCACCTGTCGCCCATCCCTGAGACCCAACACCCCAAGGCCGAGCCCCAGCCCCCCCAGGTGGGGTACCATGGGCAGCCCCTCTCCCGCTGCCATGTCCCCGGAGCCGATGTGCGTCAGGTGCACGAAGTTCATGGGCTCCCCGATCATGGAGCGGTCGATCCGCCTCCTCCTCTTCTTCTGCAAGGGGAAGAAGGCTGTCAGACCCCGCTGACCCCAGGGCCCTGCCCCACATGGCAGCACGGGAGGGGAGGTACTCACGGGCTGGGGCTTCTCCACCACGCAGCAGCCCAGCTTGTGCCAGAAGTCGCTCATGCTCGCGGTGCTGGCAGCCAGCGTCCCCCCGCGCTGGCACAGCTGCCGGGACCCCTGCGCTGGGTCACTCCATGGGGACACCTGGCCGGGGTGGCACAGCGTGGAGAGGAGCAGCTGGCTGTGAGCAGGAAGGGAGAGCGATGTTGCCAAGCCTGACCTCCCCGAATTAATCCTAAATTCAACTTCCCATCAACCAACAAAAAGCGGGGAGCCCCCAGCAGACCCCTGGGGTCACACCCAGACCATCCAAGGGGATACCTGTCATTGCAAGGAGATCCCCAGGGAGTCCCAGGGGTCAGAGACGTACCAGGGACCCCTGGGCATCGCACAGAGACCCCCAGAGTTGTCCCCACGGCCAGGGCTGGATCGGGGCCAGGCCTTGGCCCCCGCGCCGGGGCAGGACACAGCTGAAGGATGCTGCGGCAGGATGGGGGGGATGGAGGCAGCCCTGGCAAATCCCAACTCCCTGAGCCAGCAGCTATAAATATCCTTTCCGAAAAGGGGCCGGAGCCTGAGCTCTTCCGCTCCAGCTTTTGAAGCGCAGACAGCGAGAAATAAGCAGGACTTGGTGGGATTTTAGCCCAAACTCCCACGGTACTGCCTGGATGGGCAAGGAGATGTGGAAAAGGGGGGTTCACCCCCAAAATGGGGCTGACTCGTGCCAAGGAGAGACAACTCCTTTGCCGCACCAGCACCCGGCGGCACGCAGGGAACTCACCCGCCCACGAGGGGCCATGGCCGGAGCTCAGCCCGGTGCCAGCCACGGGAGAGCCCCCGGGCACGGCCGGTGGGTGCCGGACCCACGGCGAACGGGACAAGCTCTTTACTCCGCCGCCGGTGCCGCCGGATGGACCAAAGTCCGGCCGCACTTCCTGCTGTGCCGGGGGGGAGCGGGGCCGCGGGGCAGCCCCCCAAAACTGCTCCGAGCCCACCAGCCCCGGCACGGCCCCATCCACGGGCCTGCCCCACGGACCCCACGGAATCCCCCGGTAACCGGGCATTCCCGTGCACCCGTGGGGTGGCTGCCCCCTGTGCTGCCCCCACCACGGCCAGCCTGGCACAACCAGAGCACCCCCGTGTCCGTGTCCGTGTCCGTGTCCGTGTCCGTGCCCGTGTCCGTGTCCGTGTCCCCGTCCCCGTCCCCGTCCCCAGCGAGCGCAGCACCGGGACCGGGCAGGCTGCGACACGTCCCGGTCGGTGCCCACCTCGCCGGGAGGTGCCCCCCGAGCAGCCGCTCCCGGGGCTCCGCGGGGAGCTCGGCCAAGGACGAGCCACCGGAGAAAGCTCCACGGTTCGCACGGCCACGACCCCCGGCCCGCAGCGCCCCTCCGGTCCCCGCCGGGGCCTCGCGTCCTCCAAAGGGCGACGGCGGGGCCGGTCCCGGCGGCTCCGGTCGGTCCAGCCCCGCTCCGAGGGGTCGCACGCCCCCCGCACCCACCCCCGCGATGTGCCCGGGCTGAGCCCACCGGGGCCGCTCGGTGGGCCCGGACAGGGCGGCTTTGGGCCCGGCCCCGCCGGCACGGCCGAAATGACTTCCCGGTTGGGAAAGCACCGCTCGGTTCTGCGTCACCGGCGGGCTCCGGGCAGGGGGGTCCGCTCCGAGCCCCCCGCACTGGGGTCACCCGCTGCCGGGGGACCCGCTGCGGGCTCCCGGAGCTCGGGGGGAAGACCCCCGCGGGGGGACGGGGTGGGAGTCCCGGGGTGCCCCGGCTGCGGGCCCGGGACCCCGGGATGGGGCGGCAAAGGGGGATTTGCTTGGCGAGGTTCGGTCCCGGCTGCGACCCCCGGGGCAGCGGCTGCTCCGCGGGGCTCCGGGCGCTTCGGGGGTCCCAGCAGCGTTCGGGACCCGGGGGTCCTGCCGGGGTTGGTGGGACCCGGCAGGCCGCGGGACCCCGGTGGGGCCGGGGAGAACCGGCAGGGTGCGGATCCCGGCGGGGCTCCCCGGTTGCACGGGCGAGCTGCGGGGGGGGGTCGTCCCGCCGCCCCGCTCCCGTTCCCGTTCCGGTGCCGATCCCGGTGCCCTCTCCGCCTTCCCACGGCGGTTCCGGGGGCCCTTCCGCGGGGTCGCACCCGCCCGTTCCCGTCCCGGTGGCGGCCCCATTACCTGTCCCGGCGCGGGAGCGGGTCCCGGTCCCGGTGCCGGTGTCCGGCTCGCAGCCCCACGCGTGGCTCGGAGGTCCAGGTCCCGGTCCCGCTGCCGGTGTCCGGCTCGCAGCGGCCCCGAGCGCGGCCCGGGAGTGCAGGTCCCGATCCTTGTGCGAGCCCCGCTCCCGGTGGCGGTGCCAGAGCCCCGCTCGCAGCCCAGGCGTGGCTCGGGGCTCCCGGTCCCGGTGTGGGTTCCGGTGCCGGTGCCGGTGCCCCGCTCGCAGCCCGAGGCGTGGCCGGGAGGTGCCGGTGCCGGTGGCCGCTCGCAGCCCCAGGCGTGGCCCGGTGCGGACGCGGCGCTGCTCCCGCCGCCCGGCGCGGCTCGGCCCGGCCCGGCCCCGGTACAGCGCCCTCCCCGGGCACCGCCAGCACTGCCGGGTGCGGGCCCGGGTCCCGGTAGGAGTGGGGGTCCCGGTAGGAATGGGGGTTCCGGTAAGAATGGGGGTCCCGGTAGGGGTTCCGGTAGGAATGGGGGTCCCGGTAGGAGTGGGG